AATTTCTCTGTGTAGCTTTGAAAAATCTAATATCTCTATCAACTTTTTTAAAAAATCAGTCCAACTAAAATGAACCAAGTTGATTTAAAACGCCTGAGAAAATAAAGAGGTCTTCATTTGGTGCTAAATAATATCAACATAAATAGATGCCTTATTAATGTTAGAATGGAAGAAGATTCATGTTGGAGCAGGCAGAGATCTATCTAGCCATAAATTATCTTCACCCAAAGCCCACCAGTAGGGCATGAGTGCGACTGCACCCTTCATCTCACATTCCCCAGAAACTGATATATACAGACATATTTCTTATTTTTGTGTGCCTTCAGGTCATTTCTGGCTTACAGTGACCCTATGGCAAACCTATTCACAGGGCTTTTTGTCTTTGCCTTGTCTTCCTCTGACGCTGTGATGGTGTGACTTTCTATGGCGGAGCAGGGATTTGAACCCTGGTCTTCAGAGTCTTTGGCTGCATCCGCGCTGCAGAAATAAACTGGTTTGCCACCACTTTCACCGCCATGACTCAATGTTATGGAATTCTGGGAAGTATAGTGTGTTGGGGCACTAGAGCTCTCCAACATAGAAGGCTAAATGTCTCACTAAACTATAAATCCCAGAATTCCATAGCGTTGAGTTAAAGTGGTGTCAAACTGGATTATATCTACAGTACGGATGCAGCCTAAGCAGTTGATCAAAACCCCAAGACCGGCTTTTTCTGGATTAGTTGCTGCCATCTGAGCTATGGCTGGAGACTATTGGATCTCATTGCATGGCACTACTTAGAATCAGGGTGCCACCACTGCGGAGGCCTATTGTCCAGTAGACACTGGCCATTGCTTGGGTTCCAGGAGAACCCAAAAAAGAGCTTCCCATAAGACTCTTGGTATATGGACAGCCCTGGGTAGAGGTTATGCAGGAACAAGAGTGCTAGGCTGGGATTTGGGAGATGCATGTTCAAGTCACCAGTCGGTCTCAAAACTCATTGACTTTGAGCTAGTCTAATCAACTTCACAGGATCAGTTCTTATCTTCTTCTTCTTATGTGCCTCCAAGGCATCCTATGAACCTACCGCAGGGTTTTCTTGGCATGCTTCTTCAGAAGGCGTTTGCCATTGCCATCCTCTGTGGCTGAGAGAATGTGACTTGCCCAAGGTCACCCAGTGGATTTTTATGCTCGAACGGGGAATCAAGCCCTGATCTCTGGAATCATAGTCCAACGCTCAAACCATTACACCATTCTGGGTCTCCTACTTCTTATCTATTTCAAGCTTTTTTAAAAAACAAGCTCTGATCCTCTCCCCTTGCTGGTTGGGGATTCTGGGGCCTTTTTTGAAAGAACATTTCCAAAACTCTGCCTGTTGCAACTGTTGATATTGTGCTTTTCTGTAAATGGCAAAACAAGGATTTTGGGATACAGGGTGGGAAAACCCAGCAGAGTGAGAACTGCTAATAAGCTTGAACATTTGGCCTTCCAGTTGACTCTGAGCGATGTCAGTAATAAAATGGAAAAATGACAATCTGTGAAAATTTAAATGAGTGCCTATGCTTCACACAAAGAAGACAATTCCCCATGAAAGTCAGTATCAATGTGAGAAGCCACTGTTGTTTGTACCCAATATCAATGGACTTTGGGATGTGCTCACTGTTCTGGAGCCTTGTCTATGTGTCCCCTATCTTTCTATTGATCGGTTTAAAGTGCACCAGGAGATGCTGGAAAAACAGGACACAGTTTCTGTAAATGAAGTGATTTGGAAATCTTTCGTTGGTGTTCTTGCTCTGGAGTACTGCCGTATTAGCTGCTCTCTGCATTTTTGCATTGTGATCTTTTCTAGATGCCCTCACTTTTGGCACCAAATTCGGAGGTTGGAAAATAAATTAAATAAATAAATTCCCCCTTTTTTATTTTTTTACTACACTTCATGGGATCCTCCAGTTAGCATTGGCAGTGGCTATGCTGGGTAGCAGGTTCTGGAAATTATCCTCCAAAAAAGCTAATTTTTCCAGGCTCTACTATTTCTTTCTTTTCTTTTCAGTAGGATCACTTGGAATGCAGACTTGCTGGCAAAAGCAATGGACTATTGCAAGCTACCCATTTTAAAAGCTACAAAAGCCATCCTTTGAGCTACATTCTCAGCATTCTGATCAAGGAAATGGGCCCAGAATTACTCTAATTTCTCTCCTCCCGCTGCAAACAGTTGCAAAACTTCAGACTTGCACGGGTGCAGTTAGGACTTGGGCAAGCCACCATTCTTCAGCAGTGATACCATTGGGTGTCCTAAAATTGCACTGACGAATTTCAATAAAACATGTTTTTTTAGAGGAGGAGCATGAGCAAACAAAATGGGAACAATGCTAACTGGGGCATGGAAAGATGAAAAGGAAAGATGGAACACCAAAGTACTGCGAAGGCATTCATTCCTCTTCTGCTTTTCCCAAATGTACACAGCCATTCTATTTTCATCTCATTTCAGGGCTTGGTCTTGCTCTTTTCCTACAATTCCAGATTGCAATTCCTAAAATTCATGCTCAGATCTTTTCACAGCTAAGGGAGAGAAAGTCTGATGTTTGTCGGCATCAGATTTTTAAATAATAGATGATATTAAAACATCTATTTCTTACTGGTGACGAGGAGACTTAATAGAAATGTCCCCAAATGATCTCTTCCTCCTTCCAAGAGGCGTGGGTTCACCCATGCAGTCTGTCTCACACTTGAAAAACGTAACCCTTCATAGGACAAACCATGGGCAATGCTGGTCTGAATGGGTTTTTGAAAGCAATGTCCATGCTACAGAATATGTATGTGTAAAATAGCCCTTAGGTAGACAGAAATAATCACGTTGCATGTGCTAATGAACTTACTTTGGATAATCACTTGTGTCCCAGACCCACTTCACCATTACTGTGCAATTTGGTTCACTTTGGCATCATTTCAATGGTCGACATGCCAGATTTGGTGGCCAAAATTATGGATTTTGAGATAGCGTATATACTCGTGTACAGGTTGACCTCGTGTATAAGTCAAGGGAAGGTTTTAGGGCCAAAGTTGTGGATTTTGAGATGACCCGTAGATAAGTCAAGGGTAAAACTTAAGATAGGAGAAGGTTTTATCATTGGACTGAGAAGGAAAGAACTGGAGGTAATTGCGGTGCTTGGTGGGCAGGGGAGATCCAGAGAAAGAAGGACAAAAGAGAAGGTTTTAACATCAGATTGCAAAGTGAATAATCTCTTTCACACTTACATTAATGGATAAATTAATACACATACACACATACACTTTCAAAAATCACTGCCGAGGCACAGTGAGGAATCAGGTGGTGCTTCTTTTAGTATCTTTATGAGCTGTATTACTGTACTGTCCTGTATAAGGTCAATTTTTGAACATAGGTGTTTTTTTTCTCACTAATACTTGAGTATATATGGTAACCCATGTATAAGTCAAGGTAAAACTTAGGGGAATGCAACAGAGGATGTAAAGGATGAATGAAAGGAAAATGATGCCATAGAATGCTGCTATTTTCCTGCCCAAGCATTCAAAAAGGCCAGAGGTAGCACCACAATGGAGTGGGGTAGAGCTCTCACCTTTTGCCATAGTTCCTATTTTGATAAGTTACAGTACAGTAGCATTGACTCATGGATAAGTTGATCTAGGTTTTTGGGGGTTGATTTTTGACATTTCTATACTTATACATGAGTATATATAGTATATGTCATAATGCAACCACCTTCCCACTCCTAGGCAGTATTGCCCAGAAGACTTGAGAGGGAAAAACAAGGGTTATGGAAGCCACTCTCTGATTCTTCATTGGTCTAGTAGAAAGGCTTCATCCATCAGTGCAGTCTGCAATTTAATGCTTGAAATTTAGTGGGTCTTTTATAATTTAATAACCTCGGATTTGGTTTTTTCTTTCTTTTTTAGACAAAGTATAACAGCTTCAGTTGAATCATTTTGGCTTCTAGAAAGAGTTCAGGCTTGATTTGCACTAGGACCCATTTATTAGTCTTTTTAACAGTCCACGACATCTATAGAACTCCTCCACAGCACCACATTTCAAATGAGTTAATGCTCTTCTTACCAACCTTCTTCACTGTCATTTTCACAACCAAAAATTAGAAATATGATGGCATGGGCAAACCTAACATTAGTATTTAATGATATATCCTATGCTTCAGGATTTTATCTACTTCCTTCATAGCTGCCCTTCCAAGTCCTAGTCTTCTGATTTCTTGACTGCAGTCTCTGTTCTCATCAATGTTTGATCCAAGGTATGGGAACTCTCTATTTCAATGTTTTCATTATCTACATTAAAGTTAGGTAAATTATCAGAGACCCAGCAGGATGTAGTGGTTTGAGTGTTGGACTAAGACTCTGGAGGCCAGCGTTTGAATCCCCAAAAGCCATGGACACTCGCTGGGTGACCTTGGGCAAGTCAAACTCAGCCTTTGAGGAAGGCAATGGCAAACCCCTTCTCAAGTTACTTTCCAAGAAAACCCTGTGATAGGTTCGCTTTAGGGTTGCCATAAGTAAAAAATAACTTGGAGGCAGATAACAACAACAACAAATCATATGAGATTTTTGTTTTCTTAATTTTCAAAGGTATATTTGCCTTGGCACTTTCTTCCTGGACTTTCTTCAGCAAGCATTCTAAGTTTTTGGGAAAATGCCCTTTCCATAAATACACACAAATAAATGCATTACAGATTCTGATCCACAGTCTTTATTCTGCATCCTAATAAATAAGTCCCAGTACCTCTGTGGAACCTTGAACATACAGGATTGTTAACACTGAACACAGCTTTAAAAAACGAGATGGGGGGAAGAAGGGAGAAAAGGGTGGAGGGGTTTCAGAAATCTGAGCCTCCAGAGCTCTAAGGGACAAAGAATACAGAGCAGGCAGACATACACCCCTCCCCAGGAGGGGGCAGATTTCAATCCCCACCTTCAGGCAGTATTTGAAGGGCAAAGCAGGCCCAGACTGGCAGTGAAACCTCATTTTAAAGTGACAATATAGTTCCACTTTGTGAATGAAAAGCCCATTGGTTGCCTTGGAGACAGGCAGAGGAAGAATCAGGCCAAAGAGAGTCTTGTTGCTTGGGTGCATGGTACTCCTTGCATGGGATTTACAAAGAAACCAAACACAACAGTTATCATTCTGCACTTAGATCCATCTAGATATCACCGTCTCCCCAGAGTCTGGCATTATGCTAAACAAGGAACAAGGCGAGATGGGCAAAGCAGACACCTTCAAGAAGTCTGGTACTTTCTGTGCAGACTGGGATAAACCTATACTCAGCAACACCCCTCAAATTTCACCCAAGGAAATGCAGAAACCATTCAAAATGGAACTGCAGGTGGGTGTCAAGTGGAATAGCTCAGTTCCTTTTGGATTTCTTTCTCAGACATTTCCTAAAGCAGGGCTGAGAAAGCTGTGGCTTACAGATGCTGTTAGACTCCATCTGTCTGTCTCAGCCAAACCTGAACAGTTGTAAGTCATATTGGGAG